TTATTATTATTATTATTATTATTATTATTATTATTATTATTATTATTATTATTATTATTATTATTATTATATTATTACTTTAATATAATTTTTAGTATAACTCAATTTTATAAGAATAAAATTATTATTATAATTATTATTATATAAAAACTTTAATTTCTTTTGAATAATTATTATTCTTAAAAAGTTATTCTGAATTAAATATAATAATATTATAATAAATAATAATTTTTTATATTTTATTAAGTTTTTTTAATACTTAATATATATCTTTTATCTTTTATATTTATTATAAATATATATATCAGATTATAAAAATACTTAAAAAATAATAAATTATATAAAAATACTTAAAAGATTAATAAATTATATAGAAATACTTAAAAATATATAAAAATACTTAAAAAAATAATAATTTATATAAAAATATTTAAAAAATAACAAATTATATAGAAATACTTAAAAAAATAATAATTATAAAAAAATATTCAAAAATTTTATAATAAAGAAGTATATATATTATATATAATAATAATCTTTTTTACTATTATAAAAGTTATAATCTTCTAGTTATATAATATAATTTAATAAGAATTTATATAGAAAAGCAAATTAAAAATAAATAAATTTTAATTTAATTATATAAACTTATATTTATTTTATTAAGATTAAATAAAATTAAGAAATTATAGAATAGAATAAAGTAATTTTGAATAATAAATTAAAATATATAAATTATTAATATAAAAATACTTATTTAATAATATCTCAAAAAGATATTTATTATAAGATAAATATAAAAATAAATAATTATAAATATAAATATATATATATATAAATATAAATTAAAACAAGAAATTAAATTATTAAATTTAATTAATAATAATAAGTTAATAATTTAATTAATAATTTATTTAATATTAATTATTAAAAGTATAATTTTTTGATTTATAATATAATATATAATATAATATTATAATCTATTTTATTTTAAAGATGCTTAATTAAGTTAAACTTAAATAATTAGATAGATTAATTAAGTAAATAAATATTATTATTATTAAAATATTTATATATAGATTTTATTATATATTTTGAATTATTATCTTGTTAAAAAATATTATTATTTTATTAATTTTATATTACTAAATTATTTTTAAAAGATTATTATTTAAGATTTTATAATATAAATTCTTATCTATATAATTATTAATATATATATAATATTATTAATTTCAAAAAATCTGAAATAATTTTAAATCATTATATTTTCATTCTCAAATTTTATTATAAATTTTATATAATACTCTTTCAAAAATTTATTATTATATTTTCAGTAATATTTATATTTATCTGAATTAAAAATTATAAATTTCAATTTTATTTGATTAAATAACTTTGCTCTAATTATTAATAGTCTAATAATAATATTTTTTCACAAAATTTAAATATTAAATTTTATATATTTTTTTGAGATATAATTTTTTTTATTTAATTTATAAAGAAAGATTATTATAATATAAAATTTACTTTATTATACTTGTATTAATATTAATTTTATTATTAGTTTTTAATTTTTTTGAATAGATATTACTATTCAAAATTAAATATATAATATTTTATTTATTATATTTAGTAAATAATTTGATTTTGATAAATCTTTAAAAATATTATAAATATCTTTTTTTTTGCTTTATTCTTATAATAAAGAATTAAAATTTTTTTATTAATATAAAGAATATTTTTTAAGAAAAATATAAATTTGAAATCTTTTTTAACAAAAATATATATCATAATAATTTTAATTATACAAAATAAAAGAGTATATTCATAAATATATTTTGTTTATAAGAGATTTATTTTATTTTATATATATATATATATTAAGAAGAGAAATAATTAAAAGAAATATATTATTAGTTTGGTGTAATAAAGTTCAAGTTAAGCAAAATGATATTATATTTATTTTTAAATTATATATATTATTTATTTATACTTTTAACTATATATAAACTAAATTTCATTTATTTATGATATTTATATTACTAAAAATTTTCCAATTTGTTTTTATCCTAGTAATACATTACTTTTGAGTATTATTGTATAATGCTATTAATATTTTTCTAACAAGAAACATGTTCTTGAACATTTTAGTTCAAAATTAGTCATATTATATTATATATAGTGATTGAAAAGAAGAAAATTATTATAAAAAACTCTAGTAACTCTAAGATTAATTAAATATATTTGATTTCTAAACTCATTTTAAAGCCAATAATATAAAGAAAGTCTAAAAATATGTCAATATTGCCATTTTAAGAAATTAAATGATCTACTTGAATATTTTTAATTAGTAAAATTTCAACTTCAAGCAGCACTAAAAGATTGGTTTATCAAAAAATATACTTTTTAATGAGAGCTATTTACAACACGATTTCCAGTTAAATTAATGCCAAATTCGTCTAGCTATTAGATTCCAAATTATAAAATTAAAGAAATATTATGTTTACTAGCATTAATTTGTACTTCAGGATGTTAATTTAACTGAAATTTGTTTGTTATCTTAGAAACATTATATCGCGTAATTTCTTAATTTTTCCATTAAAATTCCTTAAAAAAGATTATCGATATCATTTTTGGATCAATTATCATTTGATAATTATCTTTAATGTACATATTAATAGGAAATAAATATTAGTATACAAAACAGCAGCATTATGATTTTGGCAATAATAATAATGACATCGAAACTGCTGCTGCCACAATAATTAAATTAATTCACGATCAACTATTCAATATCTGACACCGATAATGTTTTTGTAGTAACCTTGCAATTTGTGAGCTCATAATACAATATTGTTATAATCTCTAGATTAATATCGATACCGGTTCGTAAGTTTATTCATACGTTTACTTTATTAATTTTTGCTATAACTATCAATTTTACTTAATTCCTTGAGAAACACCCATTTTTGGCAAGCACTAAACCTTTTTGGATCAATATTTCTGGTGATTCATATTTCTCCTTTCCTCCCCAAAATTCTTTTGTTGATATTGTGCATATTGTGCTTGGTCTTATTGTACAGAAGCTGGAATATGGAATAGAATAGCATAAAAATAGAATTAGCCGTAATGTGGAAGACAATTTGTATAAAAAGGTGACAAGATATTAAGCTTTTGAATGATATGCTCTAAATAAAATAATTCGTTTACCTGAAAAAGTCTTTATTTATGAATACCTAATTTTTCTTTCCTTTGGTTATCTTCAAACCTTACGTACAAGTAATAAATGAACTCCACACAAATAATTCATAATTCAACTGTGAGTTTTTTGACAGAAACTAAGTCCAACCTTGACTTTGGACATTTGTATTTTTGGTTAACTGAAACAATCTGGGTCATTACTTCTGAGGTAATCTCTATGGCGCACGTTATTGTGTTGTCAGAACCTTCTCGAAATCCCTTTGTAGTCTAGTTTAGACTCTTTGTTGCTGATAATCAGAAATCTCCTTTTGCATCCCTATTAAAATAAAAGAAACTAACTTTTGTAAAAGTTGATTTGCGTACAAATCACCATAAGAAACCTTTACAACAAATAAAGAAATCCTTTAACTGTAAAATATTCAGTCTTGCTCTTATCCTTACCTTGCGGCATTTCCATTTATTCCCGTATTTTTTATTAGGCTAATCCTTCCTGATGACAAACTGTTTGGATTGAAATTTCATTAACAAAAATATTCAAGAAGACATTTAATTTCTTTAGAACGACATATCAACATATTTTTTAAACATCCTCTACTTATTAGTGAGTATGGAAACCAGAAAAAGTTAATCGATGTTAGAGGCATTAAAATTTTTTCGTAAAACGCTTCGCTTTTCGTTTCTTTTGCGAGTCACTGTACATGTATCAATAACATTTCGGTTAGAATTAAGATTAAAGATTATGTCTCATATGCGTATGCATAGTAAATCTCGCAAGTACCATTTTTTGTCAGAACACTTCCTAAGCAAAATTTCGAGATACAAGAAATTTTTCATTTTTTTGCACGTAATTTCTTACTCAACTATCTCGAACAAGTATAATCTATCAGAATAATTCGTTATTATATGGAACAAGAATGTGGTACATTAAATCATATACAGTACATGTACATTTGCATGAATTTGATATACGTAAAAATTGATGATGGTAATATCACTGTTGAAATATACAAAATTTTGAAAATATAATACAGTGTTATATTAAATTCAGAGAAATTAGTACATGTATAACTAAAATTATTGTTATAGGCATAACTGGGCTGCTTGTTATACTTGCTGAATTGATAAATGGGACTTTTGAAGTCTGTGTTACTGTCGTTACTGGTTGTGAAGATGTTGTATCTGGTGATGTCACCTCTGGCGGTGACACCTGTATTGTTACTACTGGTGTCACTACCGATACTGTTTGTATCCCCGATATTACTACTAATGTCTTTGTTTGTCCCTCCGATGTCACTGTAACTTCCACTGAAGTCACTAATGTCATTGGTGGTGGCGTTGCTGTTGTTATCTTTGGTGGTGGCACTGATATTACTGTTGAAACTACTGTTGGTGGTGTTGATGTTGTTGTCTTTATTATTGTTGTTGTTGTTGTTGGCAGCGGAACTAATGATGTCGTTCGCGCTATACAACCGGTATTACCGCAAATTTCACTCCCACAACAATAGGCAATTCCGCAAGGCACACCAAGGCCACTGGCACCACAGCCACCATCACATAGGGTAGTTCCTGCTCTGCAAACCTGACCGACACGACAACATGTAATATTGTTTGCACATAAGAAAGTTCCGGTCTGGCAAACGGACCTTGGCACTAAATGTTGGGGAAATGTTTCGTTACCGTGAATTTGCCTAGAAAGAAGACCAACAGACAATTCATCTCTTTTCCATTTCAAAAACGACTTAGCAAAAATGAAGTTGTTAAAGACTAGAATGTTGAGAGTAATTATTAAAGCAAAATTCTTCATGATGAATTTAGATGTAATCTAATGAAATTCGTAGTGCACTTATTTATATTAGTTTAAATGGCGTAATTTATCATATTCTGGCAGGTTTTTAGTGGGTGTGAACCAGTTATTTACCAGCTACATGCAGTAACAATTACCTCTTCATTTTGTTTTCCTCAGTCAAATGATTCGTAGTCATACTAAATACTACAACAGAGAAATTCCAAAGTGCGTAAATGGAAAGACTACAATGTATCTCATCTTTTATTAAATCTCCATATATGTTCAGGAGAAATCAATCTATAAAAAATCGTGTTACGTACTACATGCACACCCGCAAAAAAAAAGGTAACGACTGATTTGCGTGATAGACAATTACATGTACATGTATGTACACCATTTTTTATTTTCACTGTAGGCGAGATTTTATTAGATGTAAATATGATAACTATCGTACCCAGTTGACAAGAGCAGAATAGTAAAGTTTATTATTGAAGTTATGTGTGTTCAACAAGCTGCAAAGAAAATATGCCGCAGCCCGATGATAACATAATTGTCTCTTGCCGTACCAGAAACAGAAAACCAAAATTTACCACGATCTGGGAGACCATAAGATCTTAACAAAATACAAGTTTAGAAGAAGTAAAAAGGGGACAACCTGGGTCAATTTCACAGCATTTTCAATAAAAATTTGTGCGCCTGAAGCTTCTCTAAGATAATTTTGTTCCTTTTCATAATAAACTATGTTCATTAACTTGGAGAAAACATGATTTGTTTCAGCAAAATAATACTTGATCTATACTGGGAAAGAAGTCACCAAATAGGTTCAAATGGAGAAAATCAACGATTAACGTGTTCTCCGACCCTAACTTCAAAGAAATGTCTGTAAGTATGTGGAGAAAATATTTAAAGTGTAAAAGATCCCAAGAATCGTGAAAAAGCTCAAAGCTATTCTGAAGGAACATGGTCAAAATTCGATGTGTTGTTTTTGCGGAGATTGAAAGCTCAATGTCTTGAGAATCAAAACAATATTAAATGAAGAGCCAAGTTAATGGTAAAAAAAGATTTTCTATAATAAGACAGAAATAAAACAAATGAAATTTCATTTTTAAAAAAATCGGACGGGAATATACATGTAATAATAACAACGAAAAAATGTTAAATGTATATTGAAAGTGCGAATTTTTTACATTTCGTAAATTTTTAGATCTTGCATTGTAGGATGAGTTTTTAGAACTCGATAATTTTTAGCATGCAATTTAATTTCTAAAATAAGATACAAGTTTTACAAAAAAGCAAAGTTAACGTGAAATAATCATCAAAAATCTTGATTACATAAAATAGATTGAACCTCGCCATTTTTATAGCATGATAGTTACTACGGATAAATATAAACCCTCTTTTATCAAGACTCCTGAACTATTTCTCGTTTTAACTTGCTTTAAAAGGTTACGGATTTGAATTTTCAAGTTTATAAAGTAAAATCGGGTTTGCTATTAATCTCAGTTTAAAAATAGGATTAACGTTACTAAATTAAAATACAGTTTTTGACTTGCATCGTCCAATGACAAAGAGGACTACGATCATTTCTTATCAATATTTCTCTATTTGGAGATTATGTGATAAATATGAACAGATTTTGAACATACAATGTATGACAAAAAAAGTCAAAAACTTGAAGATTTCAAGAAAAATTAAATGTTGCACCAAATACAATGGATCCTTATATACTAAATTCAAGTTAAGTACATGTACAGCATATGTCATGTAATCTAGACACAAATAACGATTATTAAATATCAATACAAATTTTTTTTGAACATAGATTTTGAGTAGACATACAGTATCACCTACAAGTACTTGTATTATAATAACTCAGAGAGCTAGCGACAGTTATCTTTCATTGATACAATGGATTCATATCATAGTGTTATAAATAATTACAAATTAAATATAGAGACTGATGGTTTTGTAAGAGGAATGTGTGGGCTTAGGGGAGCAAATGTATAGCGTTTATCAGTAAATAAAAGTTTATATTTTTAATTAATTTCTTTTTATTTCAAAATTTATCAATAATACTTTTTTAAAAAAAGGATTAGCTACCTCATATCAGCAAATTTGACTAAAGTGATTAATGTGAAAAATTTGCTACAATTGCAAGATAAACGAAAAGTAGAAAATTGAATGTACATGTAATAAATCAATTTGTATATTAATATGTTTTAATAAGAGCAAAAATTTTATTTTTTATCATCTTACTAAGAAATACATAAGTATAACTAAACTAAGGGACATTTCAGCATTTAATAATCTCTTTTGATTCGCGTTAAGATAAGTTATTTGTAGTTTTTCTTGCAAGTCACTTAACATATCTTCATTTTCCAGATCTGCCTTTGCACCGTCAAGAAACAATAAAAACGGACACTTGTAAGCCTTTATTTTACGGCGTTTGCTGACATTTAATGAAATAATGTAATGATGTGTTGTGTAAACAAAGTGCATTCTGTGCTTGGTTCTTGATTCACTTTACAGATCAATAAGAATTTGCAAATCAAATGATTTATTCTGTTTAACTATAGCATGAATAATTTGAATAAGCATGTTATTATATTCAATTTCTGCAACTAAAATGCATAAATGCATATTCTTTATTCAAGATATTTTAAATCTTTTTATAAAGAAAATAAATTCATATATATAATAGCAATTTTATAAAGATAATAATGACTTTAATAATAATAATTGAGAATTCTCAATTATATTCCCCGGAACAAAATATCTGGACAGAGTATCTTATATTTTATGTAAAATTTAATGCAACAATCGTAGAAGAAATTTATATCAATCTATAGCTTAAATTTTCAGAATTTGCATATAAATTTTGAAACATCCAGCTTTCGGGAACAATGAATAATTACAAAAAAAGCAATCGCAAGAAAATCAATTTTGCCAAACTTTAATTTTTTAAATTTTAAATTTTATTTTAGTATTGGGTTGACCATTCATTATTTGAAATATATGTCTCAGGCCTTCTTGGCATGCTCTCAATTAAATTGGAATATGTTTTATAAGAGATTCAAAACCATTCCTCTTTCAGTGCAATCTCTAAATCTTTGGTATTTTGGTGATTTTTTTCAGATGTCTATCAAGTTCATTTCAAATTGGATTAGGATCAGGAGACTAGACGGCCAATCAGGTAGAATTTTTATTTTCTTCTTCATAATCCAATTAGTCATCTTAAAAGCATAATCTGTATCATTAAAGTCACTTTAATTAATGACAAAAGGCTTTTATCTAAGATTCTAATATATTCTTGATGATTCATCCTTTCATCTACTCGTATCAATAGATTCAATTGAAGATGCAAGATTTTTAATATTGTAATTTTCTTCGGTTCTTTGTCGTATATAAAATGATTCGTCATTTCTAAAAATTTTAAAGCAAGACTTATCGCTCCAGATAATATTTTTCCACTTTTTAATACTCCAGTCTTTTATACATCATTTCAATTGATATTCTCTTTGCTTATCAGTTAAAAATGGTTTTACTATAGCAACTCGAGAAAAATTCTAAGTTGATATAAAATTTCTACAGATGATTTTTATGTAAACTTTTTTGCTCCAAATTTTTTCGAATATTATCTGCAAAATACTTGTTATCTATACAAATAATTGCTTTCAATGTTCTTTTATCATCATTTTAAATTTAATATTTCTTGAAATACTTTACATTATCAGAATTTTCGTAATGAATAATGATATATTGATCAGTAAAGCAGAAGATTTAGATAGTTTTGAAATACTACTTCTATCTGTTCTTAAATCTAAGTTTTTTGCTCAATTAGCTTTCGTGATGTAATGTGAAAAACCAAAATTCAAAATAATATAAACAAAACCAAAATGTAAAATATTACTTTCTTATTTTATTTATAAATATAAAAAAGCAAATAGTAATAAAGTGAGAATAAAAATACATGTATATTACTATAAAAAAGTATATAATTATTTAAACTTGGATGTTTATAACTTAAGTTTAAGTCAACTCTCTCTTTAAAATAAAAAATAAATACTTGACAAATTAATTTTACTTGCAATTACTTTTTAATTATTTATTATTTTTAAATGCTGGATATTTCAAAATTTGTATATAAATTCTTAAAAATCTAAATAATAGATTGATATAAATTTCTTCTATTATTATTATATTAAATTTTATATAAAATAAAAAAACTCTTTCTGAATACTTTTGTTTTAAGGAGTATATATCTTATTGATTATATTACTTTCTTAAGAATTTTATATAATTAATATGAATAATTTTAAAACTTTTAATATAATAATTATAACTTTTCAATTTTCAAAAGTATTAATTTCTATTACTTTTATATAATATTTTTTTAAATATAATTTTATTTTATTTAAATAATAAGAAATTAACTTATTTATTTTATCTTATTTATCTTATCTTTCTTATTTTTTTTATTTTATAATCTTTTATTTCTTATTTAATATTAAATAAATAATAATTCATACTTTCTTTTATTAAATATATAGTTATAATAAATTTATAGTTAGTTATTTAGTATTAGTTTATAAATTATTGTCATATTATATTATATATAACTTATTATATCATGATATCTGATTTATATTAAGAGAAATTATTTAATTATAATAAATTATTTTTGTTATAAATAGATATTTCTTTTTTAATTCTTATTTTACTAATATAATATATTACTCTTTTTATATTTATTATTTATAATTATTATCTTTATTTATATCTTTATATATATTTTTTAGAAATATTATTATTTATATATTTATATATTAATAATTTTATATAATTTTAATTTATTATTTAAAGATACTTTCTCCTATTCTTTATTTTCAATAATTT